TTAATCAGATGATCAACACTTTTCGCTGCCATTTTCATTTTACTCTCTACCTCACACCCTCCGTTCCTCCCTCCATCAGGCGTCGCTTTTACTTTCTCCATTCCTTCCACCTTCCACCTTTTCTGTGCTGAAAAGTTCTCTCGGCTTTTTGACATTGGTCGTCATATGCAGATGGCAAGACATGGGGCAAGGCGGTTCCCACACTCCTTCCCTACCCTCTGCTTGTTTTTTCTTTTTCTTTTCTTTTTGGTGTCGCTTGTTGCTGCTGCTGTTGCTGTTGCTTTTTGCGCCACTGTCGTCATAAACGCAGCCTTATTAAAAGTGCAAAAAAAGTTTTATATTAGTGCAGACAGGCAACACGCTCGCTCTGGCCTGGCGGCCTGCAGCCGTTTGATGGGCAGAGTGGGTGAAGTGCCAAAAAATCAACTTGTGCCAGAGCGGAAGCCCAGAAGAACTACCAAGACGAAGCTAACCAAGAAATTATTATCAATGTACGCATAATTCATTAAAACGAGCAACTTTCCCCAAGGACTTTGCGACGCGAATGAGTGGTGGGGAGTGGAGCAGGTGCGGGGGGGAAATGTAGTTGTCTGCTGACATGCGTTCCACAGATAATCATCCTCCTGCTATATGTATACCTTGTAGTCGAAGCATGCCAGAGGGTGGATATGCTGCCTGGATTTTGGCATTTTCGTAGCTATAAGAAATGCGGAAAAAGGAGATCCTTTGGACCACGAAAAAATAAAAAGTTTTTTTCTCAGTACAATATGCCCTAATTGTGAGTATCGGCCACTTTGGCATTTTCTAGCTTAAGGAATGCGGAAAGCAGACCCTAGGTATATTTTTCCAGAAAAACTTCCATTGATTTCTAATGGCTAAAATGGGGCCAATACGCGAGTGTCGTTTCACGTGCGAAGCAGCCAGAGGACATGGCATATGCGAACCCTCCCCAAATTCGGATGCTGATGATGTTGCCCCAAAATGTCAGAGTGCACTTTGTCATTATATCATTATATGGGAAGCGCCGACACAGCTGCGGCACACACACACACACTCGTGCAGCATTCGGCAGCAGAAACAGGAAGGAATGCAGGAAGAAATGAGGGAAGGAAGGAAGCAAGCAAGGAAGTAAGGAAGGAACAACCTAACCTAACTTTGTTAAAATTTTCTCTCTCACTTTTTGGCCTCTGCTCTCTCCATGTCTTTTTCTTTGCGAATATATATATATATATATTTATATTTATATGTGTGTGTGTGTGTGTGTTTCCCTTTCTTCTGCCTGCTTTCTCAATGAAGTTATCGTTGTCAAGTTTTAAGCGTGAACTTTTTGCCACGCCTCCACACCCCACAGGCCCACAGCCCACAGCCCCCACCCCCATACCCCCATCATCATTCCATGGCCACAAGAATTGGCTTTCTTCCTGCCACTCATGCCCCGCCCCGCCACCCTACCCCTTCGGGCTGCATCATAATTCGCTATTAGAAGTCACTTAAAAAGTTTCCCAAGTTTTCTTCCATGCAGCTGCCAACATTGTTGTCAGCCACGCCTACGTCCTACGGCAGCCCACACCACCACCCCACACCCCCGCCCACGTCCACGCCTTGTTGGCCCAAAGTTGTGGGTGTTTTTTTTGGTTTTGTTTTTTGTTTTGTTGTTTTGGCGGTGTGGCAGAGTGTGTCTTAAAATAATTATAATGTCTCGGGGGATGCAATTTTTTAATTGAATAATTGTAGACATAATGCCAAGGCATGCGCAAGGGGTAGGGAACGGGGAGTGCGTGACCCACCTGGCCACTGTACTTACACATAGATTTGGAACTTGTGGGGATACCATTAGCCATCAATGCATTCCATTTTTTGCTAGAGAAATTGGATGAACGCTGCAAAAGATTAAATAATGACTTATCGATAGCTTGTGCCACTCAGGTGCATGCATTTTCCAACATATCTCAGAGAAAGAAGTTTATGTGCACCAATGGCTATACTATTTTCTATAAAGGTAACCTTATTTTTCGTAGGCACCCATGCCCTTAGGGTAAATCAAATTGTCACTAAAAAAGGAAAGCGAATAAACTATTAAAAAGCAAACAACAAAAATAAAACAAAATTATTTCATTAGTATTTTTAATTTTCATTTAGAATGCACATATACTTATTTCATATGAAGGGAAAATTATTCATTTAATATTTAGTTATTATTAAAGTTCATGCAAATAATATTGTTATTTTTTGTTTGTTAATATATCCTTATATACTAGATAAATACAAATAAGTCCAAAACATTCTCTTTGTTTTTAATAGTTTTTTTTTAAGTAATATCAAGGCACATATGTATGTATGTATGTATACTTCTTTCTCTGAGGTATAACTTAACAATTCATTAATCTATTTATGTACATATGTACATATGTATTTGTAATGAAAAAGTGCGATAATTGTATAGAAGATAATGTCGCTACACGATAAGGTGCAATCGTATTTTGTTTTATTTTTTCTTTTAGATTTTTGATGCTTCACGTAAGTTCAGCGAACACCAACTAAATGCTAAAGCAAACAAGCTGAACAGGCGCAGGGTCTTAATTTCTATCATGTTTTATGCTGTAATTATGTATGCTCAACATTAATTCAATATCATACATATGTACATACATATATCATATATTTATATTTTGTAGCTATTTTTTGTATTATTATTAATTCTGTATTATTCTGTAATTTTGTGCAACATTAATTCAATATATATCAACCTATGAATCATATATATTTTGTAGTTATTTTTTGAGTGGTCAATTTTGACCTGCTGCCTGCTTAACGTGCTTAAGATGATACCGCGCAACCCCGAGGTAGTCTTCTTTTTGCTGCCTCCTTGCCTTTCATTCCGCCCATGGTGGCAGCCATTAATGGGTTAATTTGCATTAATATGTTCAATTGAATGCGTTGCAGTGCCGCCAATCGATGCTGCACGCTGTCCATGTGGCAGCCAAACAAAATGGGTATGCAGCGGGTATATGGGGATTGTATCTTGTCAGCCATATTCGAATCGAATACTCTGATCTGCCATTGAAGGGCATCGCGTAGTCGGAATACTCGCCTTTGGGTTGTTGTCTTTTTTTTCCGTTTCGATTTTTGCATATGGCTTAATTCGAATTGCCATCGCATTGCAATTAAATTCATTTCTGCAGCCAGGCACCAATACCCTCGCTCGGCTCCTTGCCCTACCCTCTGGCAGGTCCCACTGCCCCACTGCCACCCCGCGAATGTCCTTTGGTGCGGGAAAGCCCCGTGAAAAGTATGCAGCGCATAATTGCATTTAAAGCGGCCACAAACAATGGCACTGCCACTCTGCCACCCCCGAGCCACCCCGTCAACCAGCCATCTCTCACGGCAGTCTCTTACTCCCGCCACCACCCTGAGACCCACAAGTCAACTGAAGCTGAAATCATCATTAAAGTAATTATAACTGTCAATCCAGGAGCTGGGAGAGTGCCGATAAGGATGCAGGAGACACAGAGACAGCGAGAGAGAGGGGAGGGACAGATACAAAGGTAGAAAAAAAGTGTAGGGAGAAAGAGCAGCGTAAGGATCGGATACCTATGCACATTTATGTGTAAGAGTATGTACAGCAGCTGTTGGAATTAAATAACTTCCCCCCGCGACTCGAGTATAACCATTTGGGTGCAATTAGCTTACCCCCACTCCACCCCACCCCAGCACATGCTCCTCTGCCAACCACTTCAAATACTGTTTGACATTGAACGAGGGGGGTCGGCTGGGGCCAGCACGTCGATGTTCAAGGTCAGCTGCCCTCGCTGCCTCACCCCACCCCACTCGCAGCCACTTGACTGCCAATTGGTTTGCAGTGCACGCAAATGAGAAGCCGCTTAATTAACCCCCCCCTCCACACTGCACACCAAACCCTCTCTCTCTCTCTGACATAAGAAAACACTGAAAGTCATGGGCAGGCAGTGTGTTAGTGGTAGGGGGGGGTATGGGGGAACGGTAGCCGACATTCAACGCATGCAAATGCTCGCCTCAAACGCACACGCACCCCAACTCGAGCCTCACGCTCGCACTCGCACACCTGTTGTTCAGCGATCGAACAGTGTTCGAGCTGGGAGGCTGATCAGACAGAAGAGAACGACAGGGTGAGAGAGAGGGAAGAGAGTGTGGTGGGTGTCTGTAACAGATTAGTTGGCTTGTAGAGCGGGAGAGAGAGAGGTAATTGATTAGACGCTGCCCAACCAAATGTTAACTTAACAACAGTCACAGACAACATCACACATGCTCGAGGTGCAACATAATCAAACTGTTGCGCCCCGGCTCGACAGGCGCGCAGGCGTGCTCGTCGGCACCGAACCTGCCGAGCAACAGCGAACGACTTGAACGGGTCAGGGACAGTGCTGGCTCGAGCACGGCTGGTCTGGAGAAGAAAAGCTAGCACCAGAAAACTCTAGAGCAGCAAGTACTTAATGGTATTGAACGAAATGAGACTTGGGACACTAATTGATGTCATAAATGTTCGGTGAGCACAGAAATGTAAAAATAATTTTTGGCTAATATAAGCTAAATTAGAGATTCTAATTTTAGTGTTAACTGTGTTTAGTGTTAGCTCATGAACACACTGCAACATCAGAGGTCCTAGCTAGGTCAACAACAAAATCAAATCAAAACCATTTCACTTGAAATTTCACTGCATTTCAGCATTTTTATAGCCAACTGACATACAATTACAGCAAGCCAGATAGCCATTCCCATGTTCGAACGTAACATGTTGTGCAAGTCGCTTGCTCAAACATGTTTGGCCCAGTCTATTTGCCGGCAATTCCCATCGCACATTGGTTGGGCTTCATTTGGTTGGCGGTTCGATTCAAACACTAAAAACAAACGAAACGTCTGGCCGTTTGCTTGCTTTGCTTGTAAATGCTACCAAAATGCTAGGAAAACACCGAAACGTTTGCAGCAGCGACCCCATCTGTTCGGCAGCAGGCAACATGTGTTAAGCGGGTACGGTACGAGCGGCTCGACACAACAATCCCGAACGTTGACTAAATCGGTTGGGTACACGCGTGTCGTTTACCGTTTGCCGTTTACCCGTTTTGCGTATTTTTGATTCGTCGCGTCCCATCTTCCGCGCTTTTTCGGGCCCCGTGATAAATAAATGAATTGTTCAATTGTTTAAACATTTAAACAGTGCAGGACAGAGAGAGAGAGAGAAGGGCAGGACAAACGTCGGCGTCAGCGTCCTCTGGTTCCTCCTTTTTGGCGGCGTTCAGATGTTTTGTTTTTATCTGCAGAGCCGCGTCTTTGCGTAGGTGCATTTGCCTCTTTGCATGTTGCGTGTGTGTGTGTGTTGAAGTGTGTGTTCTCTTTTTTTTTCTAAACAAATTCCAAGTGCAATTTTTTTACGAGTGCAGTGTTTTTTCCTTCTTGAGGAGACAAGGAAACGGAGTGATAGAGAAAGAGAATTAACAAGTTGAAAGAAAGATCCGAAAACCGGATTCAATAACAGAAGCAGCATCACAAGAGGAGAGCAGAGCAGAGGATCAGCAGCAGAAGCAGAAGAAGCGAAAAGAAAAAATAAGCAAACACACGCACAAGGCAGCGACGCCGCCGCCAGCAGAAGTGCCCTGATCCTCTCAGCGCCGCAGCTGGCAGCACTCTCTGTCTCTCTCTTACGCATTTTGTTAGAAGCAGAGAACAGCATCAGCGGAAGGTAAGTGTGAAATGGAGCATCCTGTTGCTCTCTCTCTGTTGTGCGCAGGCGTAGCGGTATGTGCCCCCTCTAAGTGCTCCACTGATCTGATCTCGGCCCCTTTTCCCCCATGTGTTTTGTGCAAAAATTAAGAGAAGTGCAATTAAAAGCAACGCCAGCAACAGCAGCAGAGGATCCCCATTCTTTATTTTGTTTTGCTTGTTCTCTCTCGCTGTCGCTGTCGCTGCGCTGCTTTCCTTCACTCTTATTCCTTTCGCCGTTGCAGCGCTGCCCTTCCTTTCGCTCTCGTTGAGTATAGGGGCTGAGCTGCGCTGCCGTTTACTGGAATTCTGCCCTCTGCTGTCTGCACTGCTGCTTTCGGTCTGGCAGCGACGCTCTAATTTCTTGTAAAAACATTTAGTGTGACAGAGAGGGGACGATGCTGTGTTGTGTGGGGTTGTGGAAAGGAGGGGGTTCCAGCGATAGACAGAGTCGCGCAATCGATAGACAGAGAGCGCATATCGATAAGCCGCTAATTGAATTAGCACCTGCCCCTAGCACCCCCCTTTGCTCAACAGCAAAAACAAATTGGATTAATGAAAAATAGAGACAGAAAGACAGAGAGAGAGAGAGGGAGGGAGGGAGGGAGAAAAAAAGCTAAATGGTAAAACGATGGATTTCTGATGCCACAAGCAAAAAGAAAGGGCCAGCTGTGAGTGGGAGGGAGATGCAGCTACAAAATGTTTCTTTCATAATCGAAGAGTGCGAAGTGGTAGATGGAGGAAGAGGCAGACGACGAGGATGGCCACGACACGACATGATAATAACGGTTTCACAAATTTCTGTTTTTGGCTCTGTTTTTTGTTTCATCTTCTGTGGATTTTGTCTTTTTTTTATTTTGTGTGATTTTTCCTTTCCTTTCGTTTATTTGTTTTTTTTTTTGCAATGCATATTCCTTTCCCTCTTTTTCTATTGTTTTTCGTTCTGTTGTTCCTATTTTTTATGGGAAACATCAATTGGCAGACCCTGGAATATTTAATATTGATGAATTCTCTAGTTCCCCTGAACAAGAAGCCTCTTCCCTGCTCACAAAGAAAATCCATCTATTCCCGTCGATTCCTTACTATTTAAGATTTGATTCCCATCGAATGAAACCGATTATTCAGCCCCGAAAAGCGCCGGTGCCAATGCCTTTTGTTTAATTAAACTTTTGTCTCTGCTAATTGCAAAATACGAGACCCGTCGCTAAAAGAAAGATCTATTAATATTATCTCTGTTTAATTTCGATTCTCCTTTCAATTTCGATTTGCATTTGAATGAATGATTGAATGGATATCTCAATTGTTTGCCGTGGAGAGGAGAGGCCACTAAGGGAAAGTGTGTGAAAAATCGTGTGAGGCCCAGCCCTTGGGGGCATCTCCTGGGATCTCTTTCTCTTGTATTATGATACCATCCACTAATTAAAATCCCCGCAGAAAAAAAAAACAAACAATTTTTGATGTACTTTTGATATGGCTGCCCCATTCGCTGTAAAAGAGCCTAACAAAAAACAATTGGATTATGATTATGATATTCGATAGGTGTATCATTCGGCAGCTGTCGATAATGAGCTCCACACCCCCTCCCCTGTGCACACTCTCTCTCTCTATGGAGAGCCCCCATCTCACATTTCATTCGAAAAAAAAAGTTTTGGGTAAATGGTTGAATGAATAGATGGATTGTTGGATGAATGGATTCGTGTCATATCCGCAAAATGAATTGGCATTCGTCTGGCGCGTCCGTCTGGTGCAGAGTCGCGTAATTGGTGGCAGAACGGTGTGTGGAGGGGAATGGTGGCAGAATGGAAATGGAGAAACTGTTTCGGTTTCGGTTTCGGTCTGGTTATATCCGCAAAATCAACACATTTCCAAAAGGGGGGTGATGTGATATCTGTCAACGGGTTAATTGGAATGGCAAATTGCCCAGCGATTAGTCTGCGATAAGTCGATGAAAAGAAATGATATTTCGTGTATTAAAGTGTTTATAATTCGATTACAAGTTAGATATATTTCGTTGATGGGTCGATTATTAAGTGTTTCATTATGACAATATAGGAGAACTGGAACATTTTGCGATCGATCATTATATGATATTAATGGTTGTTTTTCAGTGTTTCATTGTGAATATTGTGGTATATTAATTGATCGGGGATTTCAATAATCGATAAATCAAATCGCTTAATTATCAAATATATTGTAGAGTATCGTGTGTAACAATAATTTATTTGGATATTGGTCGTAATTAATTAATTAATTGTGTTATCTTATGGCTTCTAATTGTCGAGTATTTATCGATTATTGAAATATCTTTTGTAATTTGTCGAATATAAATCGATTATTGCTGGGCTTCAATTGATATGTGATCAATTGGTATACCAATACTTGATAAATACAAATATTGCTGTTTGTAATTAGATTAAAGATAAAAGATTATCCATTTTTCGTGTTATTTTTTTTAAATATTTATCTATGGGGATATCAATAATCGATTTATGTATCGATTTCAAGCGATTAAATCAATAAATTAATTTTTTGTTTATAATTTGTGGAAAAAGTCAATTTTCTATATAGATCGGCTTAGCATAAATTATTCAGTGTTTTGTGGAACATTATTCATTAAATGATTGGTTAAATAGCTATGAAAATCGATATCCAATCAAGTAACTTCGTGTTATATCATTAAAATTATTGAGTTTAGTGTGTGTTAAATGGGTAAGAGCTATGGAAAATCCAAAGCTGTGCATAGTTTTTCTTGTTTGGGCTTTAACTGTGTGAGAGGGCAAACGCCGTTTTGGATCCCTGTTTAATCCGAATAATCGTCGTCGAAATCTCCCCACATTTCCATCGATTCGTTCATATTTAGCTTTTTGCCATCTTGACCGTCGGCCGTGTTTGACGATTTTTCCGAAGAGTCTTTTCCCTTCTGGCCGTGTGGTGGGGCCGAAGAGTCACGGCGCAAATCGCGTTTGCGGTTCTTTGGCGCCACGGACTTGGAACGGTAGCGTAGACACGGGGGAATTATCAACGCCGTAGCATGAAGTTTCTCAGAGTACTTGGGAAATGGGTTTTTGATCTGCAAAAAGGGAACAAAGATCAATGTGGTGGATGGACACCACCGCGGTAGCCGCGTTGCTTACGTAGTAGCTGGGCTGCTTCGATGACGTTGATGGTTTAGTATCGAGCTCTGGTGGATCTGCTGTGATCTGCAGCACTCCATAGACCTCCCCGAACTGCAGATGGACATTGCCATTTTCATCGGCATCCTCTAGGCCGACATCCCTCTGAACTATAATCTCGCCCTTGACCTTAATGCTGCCATGGAGTGCTGCAATTTGTGTCACTCCCCGTCGCATCTTAAAGGCATAAGCATGCATTCCTGTCAGGGACTACAGTGGAGTGGGGACAGCGGCTATTGCTTCTGGGGCTTTCAACATGAGGAGGCCTTGCACTCACCTGGTGGTCAACAGGAAATTCATTTTTTTCATTGCGGCCTATGCGATACACTTTATACGACTTGAGGGTGCGTGCTGGCCCTCCATTTACGCTGAGCTTTACTGTACAACTGCGACCTGAATCCATTTTGAATGAGAGAGCGAGAGAACTATTTATACTTTCTGTTCTCGCTCGGAATTTTTCATTTTGAACTCTATACTGATTTGTGTGACCCACAGAATTCTGTTGCAATATCTGATTGGCTTCTCAATGCCTATGTGGGGGTTACGGGTTCTATAGATATCAATCAAAAAAATAGCAGCCATAGAAAATCTAATCAAAATTCTTTTTCCATTCCTAAGCCAAAAGGCAGAGAGCAATCGAGAGCATAATTGATCGATCATCGATTTATCGATGATGAATTTTTCGATTTGTAGTTTTCCATCGCCTTCTTTAATCATCGCACAGCACAATTGAATGTTTTTGGAGAGCTGTTGCTGCTGCCTTTGCGTGTGGTATGCCCCTTGGTATTCGCATTCGCCACAGACCCCGTTTGCAGTTCTATATTTAAGTTGCATGCCCCAGCCGCCGCCGATTCACCGATTCACTGTGGGGAAGGGGAAGGGAACGCGCTGCTGCTCTGCCACTTTTCACATCGTGCCACACGAAATGTCTGCGTTTCGTGAGGCAGCAACAGCAGCAGCAGCAAAAAAAGAGGCTAAATATAAAATAATTTCCAAGCCAAAACGAGCGAAAAACCACTCGCGGCAGAAGACAATTGAGAAGAATTTCGAGGCACAACGAGGTACAAGACGAAAAGATGCCAAAAAAATAAAGAAGCGGAACAAAAGCAACAGAGTGGGGGAGGAAGGAGAGCGATAAATGAGAGGAGGCAAAGAGGCAAAAGGGGGAAAAAGATTTTATCCTTTGAGTCTTGTAGAAAATTTTTAGGGTATCCGAAGAGATCCGATTTCTCTTTTTTTAGCGAAAATTTGTTTGATATATATCTCGTATTTCCACACGGTATACGCTTTGTCGATAGCACATCTTTTTGGCTGTTTCTTTTGGCTGTCACCATGCCCCATTGCCTCATGCTGCCCTATGCCTCGTTCTGTGTGACACTGCTTAACGATGGATCTGTGGATGGTGGAGTTTTCGGTGGGAATTAGAACCGAAAACTGAAGCCAAAGCTCAGCCACAAAAGACCTTGGAGCGCGGTGATCACACAGTTGCCTCCCCCCTCAGCCTGTGCCACTGCTGAAATTTTTGAGCCAAAAAAGGTGACAGAAAGTAATGTAAAAAGGGCAACAAATTTTGAGATGCCCATGAAAGATTTTTGAAGAAAATTTAAAAAGAGAAACTACATATTGGGAAAAGGTAACAATACTTTACGGAAAGTAAAACTTTAAACATACAAGGTGGAAAAATCTGGAAAATGAAATCCAAGATAATTTCAATATTCGAAATAAATAAATAAAATATAAATTCAGATACCAATATTTGAAAATTGTTGTTGAAATGCCTATGAAATATTCTGAGATTTAAGGGAGATTTTTGGGGCACACAACTTCTGAGGAGCAGCGCAGCCCTTATGCGGCCCTTTCTCAAGTGCCTCTCAGCAGAAGACTTCATGCAAATTGTTTTGCGCCAAAATGCTACTCCAAAATGTAATGCCGCACATTTGTGCAACACGTGTGTCGTCTGCCCAGCCCAGCCCCCCCACCCCACCACACAACGCCCTAGGAACCCAGCAAGAACCACTCGCCATTTTTTGTCCGTCGTTTCGAGTGCACTCTCCCGCCCACAGTTTGCTTCGCATTTTGGAGTCTCGCATTTGGCTTACCATGAAGAAGTGAAGCTGGAGTCGAGTTCGTGTTCGTGCCACACAGAGATACCCCCTCCACAAGTGTTTGCAATGTGGCATAACCAAAGGGAACCCAAACCTCGAGAAAAAAAGAAGAAATTTCCATTGCAATGATCGACTGTCACTCTACTCTTAGGCACTGTAGATATGTAGGGTATACCCATGGTCGAGTCCACACTCTCTGCTGTTGTTCTTGTGGCATGGCCATGCCCCTCCATCGCTGCTTTTGTGTGTGTGTGTGTGTTTTTTTTTCATCGTGTAATTAAAATAATAATGCGGTGTTTCCAGTGCGCGATTTGGGCTTCGCCTTCGGAGTTTTGTGGCTGCAGCTTTTTGAGCTGCAAGGGCAGGGTGGCAGTGGTATTGTGTGCGTCTCGAGTGGGCGTGGAGTGTGTGGAGTGAAGTGCAGTGCAGTGCACCACCGTGGGGCACGGCAGGTGGAAGGAGTGGAGGTGTGAATAATTTGGTGCCACAAAAATTGTGTGTGTGTGTATGTGCGCTTCGCACTCCGCTCTTCCAGATGCTTCGTCCGCCAATTGTTTGTTGGTTTTTTCTTGTAAATTGTAGGAAAAAATGGGTATGGTTGAGGGGAAGGGTGCATGGAGCATGGGGCACAGAGTCAGAGAGGTGTGGCACAGAGTGGGGTGCAGTGGTGGCTGCATCGTGAGGCTTTGCCTTTGTTTATTCTTTGACTTTTTATTTTGTTGACTTTTGTGTGTTTGCTCTTTGGTTGCATATTTTATTTCGATGGCATTTTTCAGTGGATTTTAACAAGATTTAGAGAGCGAGATTTGAGAGAGCGTGAAACGCGAGAGAGAGAAAAGTGCTGATGATAATAATTAGAATGCTGATCATCATTATGGGGTTACAGAAAAAAAAAAACAGTTTTCTTGATGGTCGAAAATTTGTGATCGAACGATCGAAACTAACCAAAGTGATTAAGTGAATTAAAGTGATTTTATCAATGGATAGGATGCACTTCCACCGAGAGCGAAAAAGAGAGAGAGAGAAAGCGAGCGATTCCTGTGAAAGAGAGCGAGCGAATGAATTCCTAAGCAGCAGCAGAAGAAGAAGCGCGTTACCAGGAGAGTTAGAGGTTAGAGAGAGAGAGCGATAGAAGGAAGCAGAAGGCGCACAACGCAGCAGAAAGAATAACAAAAAAAAAAACAACAAATATGCAAAAGAATAACCGGTTCCCATATCTGCTGCTGCGCGGCTGCTGCGCTGCTTACTCCTCCGGCTGCGTCGTCGTCTGCGGGCGAGATATTGCTGTTATTTTCTATGTATGTATGTGTGTGTATAGAAATTCCTGCTGCTGCCTGCTGCTCTGCTCCTCTGTAGCTGTTTGCTGCCTGCTGCTCTGCTCTGCCTGTGCGAGAAGGAGGATAAAGTGCATTGCAGTGGAGTGGAGTGGGAGGCTCAGACAACGACAAAAGCAACACCAACAGCTACAGCGGCGACGCATGTGTTGTTTTGCCCGCTGCCTAATGATGATTTACTGCTGCGCAATGATCATTAGCGCTGGCTCCCTCTTCGTCATGTGTGATGTGTGTGTGTCTATTTGGGTGTATGCGTGCGTGTTCGAGTTCGAGTGCGTGTTCGGTCAGCCGAAGATGAGGCCACAGCCGAAGACGAATGTTTGAAGACGAAGCGCAATGTTAATGATTGCCAGTGCGGTGGGGGAGGCGGCAGTAAGAGGGGCGGCCTCTCAGCACTCACTAGAAGTATTAGAGGGAGAGGCGGAAAGAAAGAGAGAGCAGGGAAGAGCATGCCTACATAGAAATGAATGCATTTTCAGGGTCACGCGACCAGTGGCCGCCAACGAAAAGTAACGAAAAGCAAAAGAAAAAAAAGCTTCTTGTAAGAAATAGGGAAAGAGAGAAGAGAGAGAACATGTCAGCAAAGACAGGGAGAGAGAGAGAGATGTTCAATGCAACATGTTGTGTCTCTGCTGCAACAGCAAAGATCAATGCATTTTTTTTGGGATGCAATTTTATTGGTTTTCCTTTGGGAATACCAAAATGTTAGTGTGTCATTTTTTTACCCACGCATCATCTGAGAATCTCGGGCATCATTTCTAGAAAAGTTTTCCCAGAGGATCAGCTACGGCTAACCCCCCATCCACTCCCGCTACACACTGGACTTCGATCTGGACTGCTCTCTGCTCTCATCGGGCCTCTGGGGCGACTTCTTTGAGGCCTGTTTCAAGAACCGGTTACCCTCCGAAAACCCGAAAAAATATGAACGGGCCATGGCATCATACCGCCTCTTCCTGCTGCTGCTGTTGCCAGCATAGAGAGGGGGTGGCAGGGTGTTGCAGTTGCAAGGAGAAATTGCTGGTTGTGGGGGGGCTCTCCTATCCACTCTTTCCTGTTTATTAACGTGAAAATTCTTTGACTCTTTTGCTGCTGCTGATTTGTGCCGCGCCCCGTTTTCCCCCACCCTTCTTTGCAGCGTTGCATCGTTCTCTCGTTGCATCTCCTGTGGCAGTAGATCCTGGAGGCGTTAGGGGGCGTGGTTTTGTGGTGCCGCCACTTGGCGCAAGCAAAAAAAAAAAAAGAAGCGATTTGAAGGCAAATTGCCAAAAAAGCTTTTTGCTGCCATCGCTGCTGCTGCACCAACCCACCCTCCCCCCATGTCCACCCCTACCCCAAAGGCTTGTCAACGGCACTGTGCCACAAGTCCCCACCCTCTCTATCTCTCTCTCTGTGCAACACTCGCGTTTATGCAAATGCACGTGAAAATACTCAAAATATTTCCCCCAATTTTTCGTTTTTCTCTGCCTTCGGCAGCTTCTACGCTTTTGGCCCGTTTTTCCCCCGTTTTTCCTTTCAATTCGTACCATGCCACGCCTCCCCCCTCTCCTGTCACAGCTAAGCCTCCAATTCTCATCGACATATTTTGATTATTGGCGAATACTTTTTGCATCTCTCGCATCCATCGATGACTCCTCCGATGCCTCGATGCCTCGATGCTCCAGCGCTTGAAGCCGAAGCCGCTCGTTTTGTTTTGTGTTTTATTTTTGGGCACCAATAATTTGTCAACGGCTGCAAATGCCCCCCTCCGTACACCCCTTAAGAAGGTGTCAGCAGAGTGCAACGACCAAAGGGATACCCTGTGCAATAGGGTCTCTGGATTTGGCACTGTATCTCCTCTATGGGATTTTGCGTTTTGGTTGGGAAGGGAAGGGGAGTCTTCGCTTGCCATAAATTTAGCATGAATATTCCCCTGGCAACAGCGGAGAGGCAAAGCAGCGGCTGGAGAGCTCATGCCTCATTTAGTGGCAGGCAAAGAGTCATCGATGGGAATAGGAGAGTGCAACAGAAGAGTGGAGGCGGTAGGCACATTCGTTGGAGTGGAAGGAACAGGAGGTAGAAGTAGTACACAGGCAGA